GTTTTAAAGTAAATGGGTCCAGGTTGTTGTGGACTGGAGGGAATGTGTACTTGTTGAGCATAATCATATGAATAACGTATAGTTCCTTTCAACGAACTACTGGGCCTGGGTGACAAGAGGTGGATTATGCTGTCTTGTAACACCTCTTTACATGCAGCAATGTTTCTTTTGATAAAATCCCATTCTGATTTTGCTTCTTGCAGATGCGTTTCTTGATCACTGAGACATTTCAATTCCTCATGCTTGCTCACATTGACATTTTGAGTTATTTTAGAATTATTAAGCTGGCAAAGACTGCAAAGATCAGATGCAGGAGTCATTGCTACAATATATGCCGTGAAAGTGTTCCAGAGGGCGACAAATTTGCTGTAGCTTACTGCTTTGAAATGTTTCTCTTCTGATACCTTTCTGTGCTGTCACCAGACAGATGCTTTGCTTTCAGAAGCAGCTGAACTTTCAAATTCTTAAAGTTTGGAGCTATTCCTGGAAGGGCAACTGCGTGGTCAGTAGCAAAGTTTTTATAAATGTGACAGTTCAGTCCAAGACTTCATGATTAAAGGTGTTTTTAGGCAGTCATGAAGTGTTACCGTGTGTTCTTGGAACTATTCCATACGCCCGTTTCTCGAAAGTCCCGGTAATTTACGGGCCTGTTAATTTACCGGGTCCTTTATCAGGAAACTTTATCGGGCCAGAAGTTACATTTCTCAAAGCACCCGTAAACTTACCCGGTACTTACCGGGGGCCCGAAAAAATAGCGGGCCATTACCAGACTCTTGCCCGGTCACTTTACGGTCGTCCGCGGGAGGAGAACAAGTTGGAACTCTGTTTCATTCGAATCATTCACTCTGTGCGACTGTTCGAGCGGATTGTTTTTTTGTTTCGATTCGAAGGACAATGCAATATGTTCTAAGTTTGACTTTGGGGTCGTCGTTGTTTCAAACGAGAGCAACCAAGAGGTCATTTTTATGCATTATCATATAATTTACAAGCGATAATTGACGATGACAACAAATTGGTAAGTGCTATTTGATGCATTAAAAATGAATGTGCTTTTCTGTATGATGGAGTTTGTGATCACCATTTGGTTGGCATGCTTCCCTCAGTTTGCGCGGGAAAAATTATGTTGCGGTGTATTGTACGTTCGCCAATCCAGTGGCCGGTTGTGGTGCAGAAAAAGGTTTTGTGGTGTTTAAAGGTATGTACAGATTTTTTTATTTATTTATACTTCATCAATCAGTTATCATAGCCATTCTTTGTAACTGTTTATTGCAATTATTAGTTATTAACCAAATTAAATTGTATTTCGGTTCTTGGTTTTAAACCTTTTTCATACTGCTTCTGCGTTTCACAAACAATGTCAAAGGTGAAAATAAACAAATGAGCTTAAGCCTCATAAAAGTACAACCACTAAAAAGATTAAGCTTAACTATAACAAATGCAGCGTTCATGCAGAAAAACTTAATAGTTGGGCAATTTTTAAAATGAATTGATTATCATCAAACATTCCGTGACATTTTTAAAAATTTAAGCGTATGCAATTAAATAGATGTCTGTTAAGGAAAACTCAAGAAGCAGCCGTTTCACTTAGGCCAGGAGCAAAGCACTCGTACTTACCGAGTAAGCTAAGTCCTATTATAAAGTCCTTTATAAATTAATTACTTTAGGTAAAGTAAAGCATGCTTGAAGAAAAACCAATAAAGGTTTATTGACAGCATTTTCATTACTGCATCACTCTACATCTGTTAAAAAATTAAAATAATATTACAACAATTATTACATCTACTAATTATGGTAAATTGATTAGGTACTATCAATGATAAAATTACGAATATATTTTTGACAAATGCTTCTATTACAGCTAGTCAATTAATGTCTTTTACATTTCCACATGTCCACTATTATTATTAGTTGTCAAATTTTATCATGTTTTTTGGTACTTTGTCAGTTTGCATGTAAGTTTTTGAAAAGATGTCTGCTGGAAAAAAACAAAGAAGTTCGCGATTTACACAAGGCATGACAGATGCCCTGGTAGACGCTTATGGAAAGCATCAAGTAAATGAAGGTCAGCCTTAAATGATGTTGTTGGTCTAGTTTCTTTTTTAACATTTTGATAATTAACTTGCTAAGAGGTCATTGGTAGTTTTTAGCGGTCATGCTAAATATTTGTAACTTTAACCCTGTATAGTCTCGTCACTCAGGAAGCAAGCTTTCTCTGGAAATGTAGAACTGTGTTGTCATGATTCATATACATAGACAAATAATACTTAAAATGAATATAGGGGTCACACATATGTCAGCAAAGTTTTGGAAAATCTGTGTAACAAGCTTATACATTCTCTGTCTAGTACATTCTGCAGAGCAAATTTTCCAATCTTGTGACAAATGAGAAGAAGAAAGAGACATGGATGAAGGTGGCAGATGCTGTTAATGCAGTAAACCCTACAGAACGGAAAACAGTATAACAGGTAACTACCACATTGTAAGGTACTTACAACCTTTC